GGTCAAAAACCTCCTCGATCAGTTTTTTGCCAGCAAAGACCAAAAATTTTATGAGCGTGGAATTATGCTACTACCAGAAAGATGACAAAAGGTGTTGGACCAGAACGGTCAATATATAATTTAATAAAGTATTTGTTTATTATACGAAAACTGTCTTTCATTTCCACAAAAAAAACGAAATGACTTTCCGAACAACCCTATAGATACAAAATGGAAATCTATTATTTTTAAGCTTTCAATTGTACTGTATCTTCAAAATATGCACCTCTGTTCAAAATAAACGTTGTTATCTCTGTTTTTTCATCTAGCCACATTAAAGTATTGAAACGACCTGTAATTAACGAAAGGAATAGTAAATATATAAAAGGAGGAGACAAAAGAAAGCAGTAGAAAGTTAAAAAAAATAGATAGCTGAAGGCCAAGTTTTAACGAATCCTCCTGAATTATTTTCAGTCTAGACAATGTCTGCATAATTATGAGAGAAATGCTTAGATTCCTAGTCTTAAACTAACGACCTGTTGAAATAAGAAATTTATTAAGTTAGTTTATAAAACATCAAAAATAATCTACGTTTATTATTTTAAGGCGAACTGCCAATCAAGTGTGATCATTTGTTAACCAGTATAGTGCAATTAATTTTATGAACAAAAATTATTTGCTATGAATTTGTTGTTAATAAGTAGAAGAATAAAACCTCTAAAGACATGAAGGGTTAGTTAGAAGTAGGGATATATTAGAAGCAAAAACAGGAATATGTAGAGGCGGATAAAGTCCTGAATCAAGGAAATACTAACAACATCAGCACAGGATAGGAAGTATAATATAAAAGTTACAACATTATGCCTTAATGTTAACATAAAATGTCAAAAATTCTTGAGGACCTCTAAATAGCTGCAACTAGGAAAGAATCCATCATTGTTAATGTCAAAAAGACAGACAGGTAGTCGTCGAAAATAAAAATTAAATATGATTTTTTAGAAGTTTTGCAATTCTTGAGCGATTATTAAACACTTTTAGTCGTATNATAACATACCTTTGCGAATGTTCAGAGCAAGGTAATTGGTTGGAAAATTTATTTAATTGTGAATTGTGTAAGTTGTTTATTTGTTTAACTTCCCAATGTGTTTTTGCTTTAAAATAGATAGGTTTTATATTTTTTAAAATGTGTTACAAAGACATCGATATTGAAGTCAACTAGCACAATATTTTACTAGTTTAATTTTTACAGAAATTACATTACAACTGGGATTTGGGGATGTTTGCCTAAATATTTTAGGCACAACAGAATTAAATGTTGTTTATTTAGTAAGCATTTTTTATTTTACTCAAAATAAAACGTTATTATTTAGTGTTCGTTCTAAGATTAATTGTGCTGCAAATTAAGCAAACTTAAAAGACATGAATTAAAATTTTTTCCTTTTAATTGTAAAACTTTAGGAAATCATCTTTGTAACCCAAAATATACTTTCTGCAAATATAAAAAGAATATTGGAAAAAAGTGGAATTTATCGTTTAAGTTGTAACTCTTGTAATGCTATTTAGATTGACCAAAGCAATAGGTCTGTTAGAAAGCGAACTTACGAACATAATTACGTAATAAACAAAAAGGATTGTAAATGCGGCTTTGCCGTACATTATATTATCAACTTACAACAATTACAAACAAATCTTCCAGACATAGAAAAAGTCAAAATTTTACATTGTAATATTCGAAAAAATCACTTTCTGAAAACCTGGAAATTAGAAAAACATTATAAATCTGATTAATAATAAGACAGCTAAAAATTTAGTGAAATTTCTTGTTTTTTATTATTTATTCAGTAAACGATAAATATGTTTTTTATATAACATTTTATCAAAGGTGAGTAGTTAAATGTCTGCCCTTCCGAACGGGGTGTGTAACTCTATGTATAGTTATTTAGTACGTTGTAGTTCACGTTTATTTTGGTCAAACGTAAACAAAGCCGTACATATACATGTGCGGTGGACATTTTCCAGGAGATAAACCACACGGAACGACTTGTTTATGGTCGGGTTAGGACACAAATGGCGACAGTTTCCGTCGTGTTGCAATTGTGATAAAACGGTAGCGTTACAGAAAGACAGACATTACAGCAGGTCTACTACAAGTCTTTTAAACTCTCCGACGATGACGATCGAGCTTTTCGAAAACGTCACCTCGATCCTATTCAACACAATCCAACCCAACCTAGCCAAAGTTTATTAGAGCGGCGGCAAGACGCTTTGCGCCCATCTTACACGAATTAAATCCACCTACACAAATCCTTTAATCTTTACACTCGGGCTGTACGAGGAGCTAACATGCCAACAAAACTGAGCTTTCCTTTAAACCACTTCTTAAAGCTTTAACTAATTCAGAAATGTCTCAATATTCATGTAATCAAGTTTAATTAAAAGTCGGATTCGCGTATCGAGGGTTCTGTACAAACTTCTAGGTATGTAAATAGTTCGTCTGTCATAGGAATCGGGTCTCAAAGATTTTTCTCGCATTTTCCCAGTATGTTTCAGCTTTTCCTCCAAAATGATCAGTCCCCAATAGAATATAAGAATTAAAGGATTGGGCAAGGGATTGCAGACCTAACTATTTGACATTAATTTTAATTTGTTATTTCCACTCGTCCCTGAGAAAAATGGTCTTGACAGACGAACAGACGAACAATGGAGTGATCCTACAAGGCTTCCCTTTTCCTTTTGAGGTACGAAACGATAAAAAAGATTATTAAACATGTAAATTAAAACTTTTACAACAACAAGTTTGTTATAATTATTTATACCTGTTATTCTTTTTCCTAACAATTTCAGGTCTGTGTTTAATAAACTGTTTTTATCAGTAATATTATTAAATGATTACATAAAATATAATTTAATTAATTTAACAATGTCGGAGAAATTATTAAGAAAAAAAATACAAAATCAATTTAAATTATTATTTGACAAGAAAATAAAAGGTAATAATTGTATCTGTGAAATACCTTTGTAGATTTTCTGTTTTTTAAATCAAGCTGCACTCGACACTCGACTAGAATGGCTTTATAATTTCACTGAAGAAAAAGAGAGAATTTATTTTTATTATTTTTCTTTAACAAATACGTATACATTGATGTACATATTCCAATTTAATTTTACGAACCAAATAATGTTTTAATACAAAACATCAGCAGTGACGCTTAGGTGCTTTGAAGTCCTTAGAGGATGATGTCCTGGTCTATCCTTCAAATTCTCTTAACCTAGAATTAAAAAAAAGAAAACAAAAATCAGTAATTTTGCAAAACAAGTTTGAATTATTTGTTTATTGTATTAATCCCTAACCAAAGTTTAACATAACTGCTGTATACAGTTGTTAAAATCAGATATCAAACAAGGACTAAAATGCAAGTATCACCACTTCTTTAATCCTAAATAAAGTATTAAGTAATTAATAAATAACTTTTAATAATAACTACTTTTATTTATTATTGTACAAATTCTAATTTTAAATGACAATTTATTTAACCAAACATGTTGTAGGTTTCGAGGACCTTTACTAGGACTTCCATGTTTACGTATCACTATGATAATATCTCTGTGAGCACAACTCCCTGAACGAATATTTTCCGGTAAATGAAACCCTCTGTACGCCTATGATCATCGCAAATGTGAGAAAATACTAAGTAAGTTCTTTTACTGTTATTATTGATGTCTACTATTAAGCTACCCCGTCTTTAAGCCGAAAATAAAACACTTCTCCACTCGATCAAATGGAGTCTTTTTTTCAGTGGAAAGACGAAGAACGCGGTACAAATAGGCAGACTATTAAATTCCACCCTCATTTTTCACGAGGGTGCATTTCATTTTGTGGAAATCTTTGGCAAGGTGGTATTATCGGATTAAGTTTGTGCTTCCACGCACATTCAGCACATAAATCATTTCCCGATGTCAGACTTGTATCCAGGAAAAAAACTTCTATTTGTATTCAGAGCACACTTAAGTTCTAAATTTGCTTATTTGCGCTGGGAAACAGAAAGAAGAATCGCAGTGTGCGTAAACGAATATATTCGTACGTGTCAAGAAAAATTAAATGTGTGTTTTGCTTTAGTCGGAAACAACGCCTTTGCTTTAAAATCCTGCAATCTGAGTAATATGAATTATTTTACTACACGAGTACAATTGTTAAAGGAAAAGACGACTCTAAAGAAAGACAAGACAATAAACGTTCAATAAACAAAATAAATGAATGAAATTAAAAAAAGATATAAAACTAACAATGTGGATACTATCGGGTTGTTCGGAAAGTCATTTCGTTTTTTCCCGACAGAGGATTTAATTGTATTCTTTTGCACCCAACTTCACATTTAAGCCGTATAATTTTTATATGCTTTGAGAGCTCATATAGCAAGGCTTGTGTGTGAAAAATTCCAATTAATTCTACGCAGTAGTTTTTGGTTGGTGCCCTTTTAAATATGGAGAGCGATAAGCAGCATTTTCGACATATCTTACTGTTTTACTACAGAAAGGGTAAAAATGCTGTTCAAGCCAGAAAGAAATTGACTGATGTGTATGGAGAAGGTGTGTTGACAGTACGCCAGTGCCAGAACTGGTTCGCTAAATTTCGATCCGGCAATTTTGATGTCGAAGATGCACCACGTTCGGGAAGGCCGGTTGAAGCTGATAAAGACGCGATAAAGGCATTAGTTGATGTGAACCGGCGAATAACAACACGTGAGATCGGATTGAGGTTAAATTTATCAAATTCAACAGTTTATGACCACTTGAAAGGCCTGGGATTATCCTCGAAGCTCGATGTATGGGTTCCCCATGTTCTCACAGAGAGAAATCTGTGTCGCCGCATTGACGTCTGCGATTCGCTTCTCAAACGTCACGAAAATGATCCGTTTTTGAAGCGCATCATCACTGGGGACGAAAAATGGGTTGTATACAACAACGTCAAACGCAAGAGGTCATGGAGCAAAAAAGATGAACCGGCTCAAACCATTTCCAAAGCCGATATTCACCAAAAAAAGGTGATGCTGTCTGTTTGGTGGGATTTTAAAGGAATCGTTTTTTTTTAGCTTTTACCGGATAACACAACGATTAATTCGGAAGTCTACTGTCATCAGCTGGACAAACTGAATGATGCACTTCAACAGAAAAGGTCAGAACTAATCAACAGGAAAGGTGTAGTGTTTCACCAAGACAACGCGAGACCTCACACAAGTTTGGTCACTCGCCAAAAGCTTTTACAGCTTGAATGGGATACAATGCTACACCCACCATATTCTCCAGACCTGGCACCATCGGATTATTATTTGTTCCGGTCACTCCAAAATTTTTTAGACGGTAAAACCTTCACCTCAAATGAGGAGGTCAAAAACCTCCTCGATCAGTTTTTTGCCAGCAAAGACCAAAAATTTTATGAGCGTGGAATTATGCTACTACCAGAAAGATGGCAAAAGGTGTTGGACCAGAACGGTCAATATATAATTTAATAAAGTATTTGTTTATTATACGAAAACTGTCTTTCATTTCCACAAAAAAAAACGAAATGACTTTCCGAACAACCCTATAGATACAAAATGGAAATCTATTATTTTTAAGCTTTCAATTGTACTGTATCTTCAAAATATGCACCTCTGTTCAAAATAAACGTTGTTATCTCTGTTTTTTCATCTAGCCACATTAAAGTATTGAAACGACCTGTAATTAACGAAAGGAATAGTAAATATATAAAAGGAGGAGACAAAAGAAAGCAGTAGAAAGTTAAAAAAAATAGATAGCTGAAGGCCAAGTTTTAACGAATCCTCCTGAATTATTTTCAGTCTAGACAATGTCTGCATAATTATGAGAGAAATGCTTAGATTCCTAGTCTTAAACTAACGACCTGTTGAAATAAGAAATTTATTAAGTTAGTTTATAAAACATCAAAAATAATCTACGTTTATTATTTTAAGGCGAACTGCCAATCAAGTGTGATCATTTGTTAACCAGTATAGTGCAATTAATTTTATGAACAAAAATTATTTGCTATGAATTTGTTGTTAATAAGTAGAAGAATAAAACCTCTAAAGACATGAAGGGTTAGTTAGAAGTAGGGATATATTAGAAGCAAAAACAGGAATATGTAGAGGCGGATAAAGTCCTGAATCAAGGAAATACTAACAACATCAGCACAGGATAGGAAGTATAATATAAAAGTTACAACATTATGCCTTAATGTTAACATAAAATGTCAAAAATTCTTGAGGACCTCTAAATAGCTGCAACTAGGAAAGAATCCATCATTGTTAATGTCAAAAAGACAGACAGGTAGTCGTCGAAAATAAAAATTAAATATGATTTTTTAGAAGTTTTGCAATTCTTGAGCGATTATTAAACACTTTTAGTCGTATTAACTGTTCTAAAAGCTTTTTAATATGTCAAAAATAAATAAATATTCAATCCTTTAGGTTTGCAAATAGTTTGTTCATTACGGGAATCAAGTCTTGAAGATTTTTCCCGCTTTTTCCGAGTATGTTTTAAATTTGCCTCCCAAAATTAATCCCCAAAACGTATAATTAAAAAAGGTTTTAGAATTTTCCTCTTTACTTGACGTTATAGGTAGGTTCTGATTCTTTCACAAGTGCCAAAATGTGTAGCATAAACGGCTGTATCTTTTGATTGCGTTGACTTAGAAGCTTCATTTTTGTCACAGCTCCAAGGTATTGCAAATTTGAGTATGGGGTACCTTTACGGGTTCATGATAATATGGGGCTTGACAGGCAGACAGACAGACGAACAACGAATTCATCCTATAAAGGTCTCTCTTTTCTTCTTAGGGTACGCAACCCTAAAATTTGGCAGTCTTGGTGTACAACAATTCCGGAGTTTTCTCCGTTGGTTGTCGATTTTAAAGGTTGAGTTTTTCTTCGTTTCGAACTGAAAATAATGACTGTAGGGCAAGTTGCAATCGATCAGCGACCAAATCAGTTTGCTGTTCTCAATGTACTGACATTCGGAGAGATTACTTTGAGAGCCGGCATTGAGAAACAAAGAAAGGGTGGATACCCTTACTGATGGCGTAACATTAGGCTTAGCTATTTTTGTTTCGATCATTTCCGAAAGCCGTTCCGCTTATGTTGTCGAATTAGACGACGCCGGCGACGCTGACGACAGCGGTTACCAATACGAGTCTCTACATTTGTTCCAGTTTGGATTTAATGTTGTTACAATTTGCCGGAAATAGAACTGCGATAGCGATCATTATTTCGAATTCCTTTTGCGGATGACTGACTTGTCCCGCATATGGTCCTTTATGTTATACTACAACAGATCTAGTTGACAGATGATTGAGCGATTCGTTGTTCAGGCAGATTGAAAACCAATTGAATTTGTAACACCAAAGTTTGTATTCAATTATTGCTTACCGATCAGATATGAGCTGAACTTAGTATTAAAATAATTCGAAGTGGTCTGTATTCTGTCGAAACTGTCACACGCGGATCGCGATTTCGATCTTTTTGGATCTCATCAGCGCGTCGCAATCAGCTCCGACAGAACACAGGCCAACTTTTACCTGCTGTCTTAACAGCGCGTTTTAGAAAATACTACAAATGGCGCAGTAAACGCCATCTGTAGCACGATGCTACTGCGTTTACTGCGCCATTTGTAGCATTTTCTACAATGAACTTATTATTGTCGGTAAATAGTGTGGTATGTATTTAGAACTTTGTCATCAGTTTACCATAGGTGTTAGGTAGTGTAGTATCCACGAAGGTAACGATATTGTTCGATGACATGGAATACTAACGTGAGCGATAAATTCTCATGCTTGACAAACGTTAGAGCACGAATAAGGCAATTTTACGCCCCTTCAAGTTTTCAGTAAGAATGACGCGGAAATATTATTTATGAGAGCCACCTTGGCATAGCATCAGCCGTAACGTCTCAAGATATTGGTCTGGAGATGCTCTAGAATGTTAAATGCTTCTCTTAATATATTGCTGGAACGGAACCAACAGGATAATACAATTTTCAGTGCATTAGTTACTTCACCTTCCTATGTTTTTATATTTCATCACTTTTACCTCCTCGTAATGTATATATACGTATTATATTTGTAGGTAGGTAATTATAAAATGAGAAAAAATTATTTCTCGCAGTTAATTAAGCAAATACAATTAAAATTGATACAGCATGACAATTTTAATACTTGCATCATCATCATAAGGTCGTCAGTCTTAAGACTGGTTGGACACGTATCTTCACTTCTTCG